AAATAAATAAATAAATAAATAAATAAATAAATAAATAAATAAATAAATAAAAATATTTTGTACAGTGTCAAATGGTCTGTGTGACTTAATAAAGCAAATGTAATTTTTTATTCAACTTAGAAATTCACACTATTGTATTTGCACAGACCTGTAAATTAAATAGTTGTTTTTCTTCCTGCTTGGTTTCTATTTCAGTGTCACTTTAACTTAATTAGGCTCCAATGTTTAACACAACTTTTTAAAAGAAATATCTCTTTAAGTTTATCTCGAGTTTTTTCTCTCATTCTGTGTGTGTGTGTGTGTGTGTGTGTGTGTGTGTGCATGCATGTGCATTTCTTGATTTACTCACCCTGCAATCCTTTGGCTGCATTCTTCACAGAGATAGAGAGGGGGTGGTTTATCACCCAAAGCCACAGATAAAGAAGGGTCTACACACATCTGAAATACACAGGAAGCCTGAAATTAGTTTCTCGTTCCCCAAAAGCACCCTCCCTACATGAAGCCTCATTAGAGGACAGGTAGATTTTGAATGAAATAAACTAACATTATAGGTCCTGGGTTTCCTTTTTACCCTAGTGCTTGAATATAGAGGAAGGATTACTTGTGATGACTGACGATGGCACAAATGGGTCATATTATTATTTTTTGAATGCTTGTTTGATATATTTTGTGGCACTGATTCAGTAAAAAAAAGATATTAAGAAATAGTCATAATTTGTAATAAGGTAGTTTGGCACATTTTGAGATTCGGCAAGCAAACTAATATGCAAATAAAACTGGTCCTGGGGGGAAAAGATCACAGTGTTAGTTAAACTATCAAAACAGAATATGACTTTGCTTGCCAGTCTGAGCTGCACAGCACATTATGCCAATATGCTGTAATATAGTCTATTTAACATATTCCATGTGCCTTTGTAAAGGATGGTTCATAGCTTCATTTAATGTCTGCATTCCCAGCCAATTATGGGTCAATAAACTTAATTAATAAAATCATAGTTGAATGTGATGTATGGAATTTATCATTCCCTACTCTTGTTGTGGTGTGTTACTCAAACTGGAATCTATGGGTTGAATTCTTCTCCTATTCACAAAATATTTAGCATTTACATACTAGGGTTACAGGTGGGAACAACATTTACCATAAGAATTCAGTCTATAAAACTTTGCATAATGTAATTCTACTCTGATAAAATCTTATTTTTAAAATTTGGCTTGAAAATTAAAATATCAGTTCATAAGCATCAGACATATAACACTTGTTATCATCACCACAAACATTCAGATACTGAAGACAACAAAAGACATTAGAGAGAATATGGATTTACTTTTCATAGCCACTATAACTTTGAATAAATTATACCATTACTCTATCCAAAATGGAATGTTGGATTTACAGTTAGCAATAATACTAGCAATAGCACTTAGACTTATACATCGCTTCACAGTGCTTTACAGCCCTCTCTAAGCAGTTTATAATGTCAGCATATTGCCCCCAACAATCTGGCTCCTCATTTTACTGACTTCAGAAGGACAGAAGGCTGAGTCAACCTTGAACTGAAGTCTGGACAGGATTGAACTGCTGGCAGTCGACAGAATTAGCATGCAATACTGCATTCTAACCACTGTACCACCACAGTTCTTGTTACTGTTTTTTAAAACTCCAGTTCTATAACAAAAGTAGCTTGGGACTTACTTTCTTTGCTCATGCTTTTCTGCATTTTCATTAGACTTCTGATTCTTATTTGGATGTGTGCAAAGGACATGAGATGGAGAAATAAGTGTCTTTGTGAGGGAAAATAATAATACTCAGTGTAGAAGTATAGTACAAAGTTGTTAATTCCAACTGTGGTCATTAAAGTTCTGTTGTCACTACAGAATTATTTGTAGAATTTCTAGGATCAAAAAAATGGACTTGGATGAAAGAAATCATTTTCACAATCTATTTATAGAAAAGAGGAATTTATCAGGAATTTTATAATGGGATTACCATGGTTATACTTGGCAATACCATAGTTTGAGTGGTAAACCTTCCATTCTGTTTCTAATGACCTTATTATGAACAGCTGGGATAAGGCTGAAATGACTAAGCACAGGGCACATTTTACAGAAGTGTTCATTACCTTCACAGCTGGCTTGTTAATTGCATTATGGCATTCAATGTGCTGACAATGAATGGGATTCCATGCTGAAAAATAAAGCCATCATGGATAAAGTTGCACAGGTTTACTAAAAGCTAAATACTGGTAAAATTCAGCATTATATGAAACCATCAATAATCATCTGAAGGAATTTTAGCTGATAAAGTCCCTGTTTCATACTTCAAATATTTAATCATGTTAGCCCAGCTCTGGCAAAGAGAGTGAAGCATAATGAAAGAATGTATTATAATGACTTATCGATTAAGATTCAACATCCAATAATGCCATTTAAAGTATGCCAGGCTGTTTATAAAAAAGAACTCTTTCTGAGAATCCAGAGGTTAAATTACCGGAGTTGGAATTTAGATAGGACATATCTATAAAACAATTTCTTAAATGTTAAATGTGAAGTGTTGTTTAGCATTCCACATATCTTTACAAAATCACAGTAGAAAGTATTTTTAAGGCCTGGTTCATACAACCATGTTAATCACTTTTGCAATCCAATGGATATATAATTAATCACAGAATTAATGGAGTCAAGAGGAAATGGAAACTCATGGTAAATCTATCATCAAAACATCAAAAAATTTTCTAGCTTTAAAATGCAAAACTATGTACTAACAGATTGAGTTCAATTGTCAGTTCAATCTTTTTCTCATACATCATTATGTTAAACATCATATGCTTATAGAAGAACCTACACCCTATTTTTTGACAGTATTTCTCTGCTTTTCTAGTTTGGAAACAACTAGAATTGCTTTCCTTAATTAGGAAGCTAGAAAATTATCTTTAGTTTCACCATTTTTCAATTTCAAAAGTTCTAATCCAGAGTTCATTACAGGGTGATGAACATTTTATACAGAGGAGTCAATGCTTAGAAAAACAACTATATCTCAGTGACATTATTGATAACTTCTGCCAATAAATTGTATTAGCATTAATGCATAGTTTTATTATCTCAGTTACCTGTATACTGTAGTCCTCGATATTCACTTATTGCCCCGGGAGGTTTTAAGTTGGGCCAGTAGTGGAAAAGCATTTGGACTGCAGGTGGCTTTACTTGAGATGGGCCATATGCTATTACATATAGCAAATCCTAGAGGAAGTCAGAGGGTGTAACACATTTAAATTCAGGCAATGGCAGCTTTTACAAGTGCAGTGAGACACAAGTAATTGAAAAGTCAAAACAATTAGCAATTCAATTATCCTTCTCAAGACTTGAATAAGCCTCACTGAACTCAATGGCACATATGAGTTAAGTAGACATGCCCAGCATTAAAATCCTGTCCAGTACTCTATATACTGGTTGATACATAGAACTTATTTATTTCAATAGTCATATACACAATTGCAATGTTGTCTCTTTCCTGAGAATACTTCATCCCTCAAATATTTAAATAAAATTAATTACCACTGATATTACCAAAGTTCTACTCTGATCTATCTATAGAAATCCATTCACTGACTATTTATGTTTTTGAATGTATTGTTATTGTTTTCATGCTTATATACCACAGCAACAGGGAATAGAAACTTAGATTTAAGGAGCAAGGTGCCTCCAAATCAGTCCATGAATTTGTTTACAGTTCCAGAACTTTGCTCACAAACTTTAGATGTAAAAATCCATACTGGGTTTTCCCCAAACGTTTTCTGCTAACATAGTAGTGCTTGTTATTATTCTAATTTAGAGGGGTACAACTCTTTCTGGGCCACAAGCAACATTCCACAAAGTAGGAGAAACATATTAAATCTGAAAAACTGAAGAAATAAGAAACAGATGATCCATCAAAAAGCCAGGCTAAAGGACCCAACATCTCTACTAAGTTCCAGGAATATGGGTTGGCTGGGGGAAAATGTTGCCTAATTAATGCTAAGGCAACGGAGGTAGAGGGCAAGATAAGGCAGGAGCCCCCATTAATGGAATGGATTGCCAATAAATTCCTCAAGGGCTAAGTTTGCTGCAAATTCATATAACCACAATAGAGCTGGTGATAAATTGATGGAGTATCTGTAATCCACCAATACTGTGAGAACAAGCGAGTCCAAATGGTCAGAAAGAACCATGGGGAAAAGCCCAGAGACAGACAGGCAATGGTGGGTGGAGGGACAGCAGATGGAAGAGAAGCTTGCCCGTATCATACATGGGTCTTCTAAAAGACTGAAACATTGTTTCTTCTCCACATTTTGGTTTATGGTTACCTAAAATTCAGTGGAAAGCCTAAAACAGAGAAAATGCATGCATACATTTATGTCAGTCTACAATGGAACTGTATTCTGTAACTTCAGGAAAGAAATTAGAAGTGCAGTTTCAAAATGATTTAGTAATTCAAAGTTACTAACTTATTAATCACCATACAGTACTGTTTCGATAAAAGCCATCTGGTCCCAAACTTACTTTCCATACTTCCTGTTTGTGTTTCATAAGACATTCCAGTAACTGACAGTGATACACTAGGAAAGAAGAGACAAACAGATGCAAATCTCATTAAATGACAAATACTGTATTTATTGTTTAATTACTAACTTTCTGGCAAATCAAATAGTTTGTGAGATTTCAAAAGTTGAATTGGATAATCATTTAAAACAAAAGCTAACAACCTGAATCCCCTCCACAAAGATTTTAGTGCAACCCCGACATAAATGGAGAATAAATAAAGCAGACCATTTCCAAAATAACCAAGTATTATTTTACCCTAGCAGACCTTGCTACTGTCTGAATGCCTTGCTGCTAACCATTCCTTCTTTTTATCAGGAGGAACATCTGTAATCAGCTACTTAATACATAGGGATCAATTGATGATGTTTCCCTCTTTTCAACAACATATTCACATAATAGAAATGGAAATTTAATTAATTAAACATTAGGCTCAGGTATTTTTGTTTGTTTGTTTAAAAGCCCATCATAGATAGTAACTGAATAGATGCCCATATGAAGCATTTATTATAACTAATATAACCATTCTTCTATCTCTCTTTACCTGTAATCAATTAATTAAACAGAAGGAGGCAAAATTTATCTGTTTCCAAGCAGGCCTTATCATTACAAACTTTACCAAATGTGAAATATGAAGCAATCAACACCTTTTAATCTAAATTTAATATGAACTTCAGAGTTGTTAACAATTATCACTAAAGAAATTGTGATTAAAAAAAAACCTGTCCCATTTCCTGGTGTTAAAATAGAGCTTATGGTCTTTTTTCCAGATCTTTAAATGTACCTTTGCATCATTGTGAAATTAATTAGCACCAAAAAAGCTACTTCAGCACTAGGCTTAGATATGTTAAAAGAGCCATTTTCAATTACTTTTAAAAATAAGCACATAGTGAGAGGGATTAAAAGCACTCTCAAATAGTTCTGCTACAAGAAACAGTCATGGCAGCTAGTACATACCAGGATTGGTTGTATACTGCATTGCGATCATTAGCATTGAAGATGCAGAAAGATTAACATGAGCTGGTACCCCTTCTCTCCTTGAAGATCCCACTTCAAAGGAAACAAGAGAAAATATTAGCTTAAATAAATACTCTACCAATTCCATAGTTGCTACTATCGTAATATCCCACTTGTCATTGAAGAATGACAGCAGTGGAATTACAGGTCTTTCAAAAATTTGTTCTCACTTTCTTTTTATCTGGCCTCACTCCATCTTAATTAAGCAATGAAAATCACTTTTCTTGGTGAGTGAATAGGGATATCAGTTTGTTGACTTAATGATCATTTCAATTGCCCCAATAGAAGCATCTCTTCTAATTCTGTTTTTACTCTGGGGAGCAGTGGAATTGTTTTCACAGACTGCAGAGAGAATAGCTCTTCCCTTAAACAAAGTGTTTGCTAGAGAAATGTTCAAGATTGTTATTTTTTTTCATGTCTCTCTAGAGAGTTCCTCCAGATAGTACACTTGGTTTACTGTGGCAGATGCCTCCACTGTTGTTTAAGTGAATCACTGCAGTTGTTAAGTTAGTAATAGGGTTGTTAAGTGAATCTAGCTATCCCCTTGACTTTGCTTTAGTGGTGGGATTCTTTTCTTTTTACTACCAGTTCTGTGGGCGTGGCTTGGTGGGCGTGGCAGGGGAAGGATACTGTAAAAACTCCAGTCAGAGGCGGTATTTGCTGGTTCTCCGAACTAGTCAAAATTTCTGCTACCTATTTTCCAGAACTGGTGAGAACCTGCTGAATACCACCTCTGCTTTGCTTGTCAGAAGGTCACAAAATGTGATTATATGATCCCAAGACACTACAACCATCATAAATATGAATAAGTTCCAAGCATCAGAATTCCTTTAATTAACTAATTAATTTTTGAACCAACCATCCCACTCCCAAGATAAGACCATGATGCTAAAGTTACTTCTTTGATACAGGAACACACTATTACGCATATATATATACTGTAACTCAAACTGGAATTCTAAAATGCTTGAAATACTTTAAAATCTGGAGGTTTTTCTTTGCTTAGCCAGGAAAAAGGTAAACACATGGCTCTGATTAAATTAACGAAGAATCCATACCATGAAAATAAATAAATAAATAAATAAAACTAATAGGAGAAAAGTACTCACAAATGTTCCAGTTATTTCTTTAAAATGTCAAAGGCCCATTTCAGCTTTGAGATATCACAAACTACACATAATATCGTAGGATAGCTGATTTCAAAAAAATATTTTCAGCTTTTTAAAATGTGAACAATGGTGTGTTACTCCTGCATCTGAACTGGACAATGCTATGTCCACCAAGAGATGAAAGTAGCCAAAAATAAATGGCAGCAATTAAATATTTTAATCGATTCTGTACTTTTTAGAAAATAGATACAGTTTAAAAATACATGTTTAGGCCATAGTGACTGAGGTTACTACAAAGATGGAAAAGACAACTTCAAACCTGAGATTTTTCTTCTTACATTTCTTTCTCTAAACCAGAGTGCAACTAAACAGGCTTTACTAAGAATTTCTATCCTCAAACAAACATTTAGATCAGTAGTTCCCAATCTTTTCTGCACACCAAATCCTGCTTTAGATAGAAGATCATTTCAGGAAAATAGGATACCTGCTCACCATACTAGCAATACAAATTCTATGGCCTTCTCTTTCTCAGCTTCTCAGCTTGATATTCCCATCCAATTTTAAAGTCTGCTTATTTCTATTGCAATCTTAATGTATATATTTTATAAACTAATTATTTTAGATGTTTTTCTTTGAAAGATGCGTTGTTAAAAGTTTTGATAGAGGTGAGAAGTTCTGGAAGGTTCTCAAAGAAACTTAAAAGGTACATGATTTCAGGGATGCATATATTGCAAATAGCTTATTCTGGTGAATACAAAAGGAAGGAATAAAAGAAATCAAACGTTTGTTGAGAGGACATTTAAAAAGAGAAATAAAGTTCTCTCAGTAGTATTCTGATATGAGCTCTGGATAAAATATACATAAAAATAAGGTGCAATTAATATATTATTGCTATATTAGAACATACTTCCAAACAACCATTGGATTGCAGTTACCCTCTTTTTTTCCAATATTAATGGGGTCTCTGGAGATGCAACTTAAATTTAATGCACACCACCTTATTTTTTTTAATGAAAGTCTTTTTAAGATGGAAAAGTATCCATTGGGCATCAAAGAAACTGTTCACAGCAATCAAATTGGGCTCCCCAGTCCTAAAGTGTTAACCTGTTTTGCAGCAAGCAACCCAGTCTAAATACTGTAAACCTCAAGAAAAAAAAAGTCAGTAACAATGCCAACATTTTGGCAAGTACTCTACCTTTAAATGAGAAACATCTATCTAGACAAATCAGGGGATGAAAGTTTTGATTTGTTTTCTCCTGCTCTTTTGGTATTAATTTCTCTCTTTTGTGAGAGAAGGGCAGACTGAACTTGTTGATTGTTTTGGGAATGGCTACCAGATTTCTTATCAATTAAAGAACCAGCTCTTATATTAACCCTAAATGCATTGTCTTTTCTGAATTTTATTTTCTTGAAAGAGGATTTTGCACTTCAGTGCAAAATAGGCCAATCCAGTAGCACCTGGAAATAGTGGAATCTAGCTTTAAGAGATTCAAAAGTCCTTAAATAGGATTGTGGGAAAGCTATTTTCTGTTTACTTAGAACCATCCATCTACAGAACTTAATTATTAAAAACAAAAGCTGGAAGCTAAGTTGCTCCTGCCCCCGTAACATCTTGCCCTCCCCCAATGTGAGGTTGGCCCCAACCCTCCTATCCTTTCGTAAGGTCCTAAAGCTCTGTCAGTTGGCCTTGGCCCCACTGGGAAACAGCACACTAGAGGTCATTGATTAACAGCAGATCCTACCTACCGAGATTCCACCTGCCCTCCCCATGTGTCTTTAGATTTTAAACTTTGGCTTTACTTTATTTATGTTTTAATATAGATATATTTTATGAATGTATATCCACCCAGAGGCACCTTATGATAAGATGGGTGCCCAATAAATTTTATAAATAAATGAATACTTTTGAATCCTTTGGCCAATTCATCCCATGAATTCAAGCTCTTTGGATATTCTAAAAATCAACCCTCTAAAGCAGAAGAATATGCCATTCTTCTTCACAGGTGAAGCCAGATTTACTTACATGCAAATACAAATCAACCAGATTTACTTACATATTGCCATGGGCAAGAACGAAGTGCTGAGATACTCTATGATATCTTTGTGCAGAAACGGTGGGAATGTAGCTAAAGTAGAGATCATTGTGTACGGTAAAGTACTCAAGATGTCATCATTGAGAAAAGGTAGCAAACATGTAGTAGTATAAAAAATGGACTGTCCAAGATCTGTCAGAGGCACAAAGAACAAACAATATGAATACACAATTGCTTTATGAAAGGGCTTTCCCTATTTTATGTCCTTATGAATTAATTAGATTTAGCTGCAGAAGACGTAAAAAGGCTGAAATGTGAAGGAAGATAGTGCAAAAAGCTAAAAAATAAAATTAGAGTTGAAACATTACATTCAATAAGTCTACATTGCCTGGTCTATCATTACTTACTAGAAAGAAGAAATCTGAGGCTGTTCAACCACCCATGGAGTACCCTCTAAGTACAATGGTAGAAGGTACGAGAAGTAGCAAGAAGTTTAGAGTTTATGCCCTAAAGTAGCCTAAAACCAAAACTAACTAAAGACCTCCACCAAAGACCAGGAAAATTTCTTAAAATCTTGTCTGCCCACTTTGTAGCATCACCTCATGCACTGTTATCCTTGCACTTCCAAAAGCTGATAAGAAACCATTCATATCCAGAAGATCCTTGAACTGTTTCTGAAAGCTGATGATGGGATCCAACCTTTTTATGTGGAATGCTCCTGGTACTGACACCTAAGGATATTTCCTGCTAACTCATTTGATAACACCTTATGCTAAATTGCAGGTCGCAACATTAATCTGAAAAGAGACAAATTAATAAAAGATGGCTACAGCAGCCTTGCCTGAAGGAAAAAAAGAAAACCAGTTTTCTATCCTCTTGAGCAACAATCCAAGTGCCCATTGTTAGGCCCAAATGTTCAGAAACTAATAGCAATTCTACACTCTGAGTATCTATGATTGATTTTAATTACTAAGTTGATCCAATTTAAATTAGTATGAAATTAGTATTAGTATTGCAGCCAACACATGAACCTATCTAGTGCTTTTTACATTTTACAATAATATCTAAGAAACTTTTGGTCCATGAGATTTCTGGAAGTGCAGCTAAATATGATCCTAACATTTCAAAATGTGTTTCAATTCAGTTATAGCACTTGTATTAATTACTACAAAAATCTTAGTTTCATCATGTCCTCAGAATGTAAATTTACACTGAAGACAATTAATACTGCTATGCTTCTGTCACATTGATCTGATGCATCAAATATATATATATACAAAATATTTAAAGTGATATCACTATTTAAAATGTTTTATACATTGTCATTAATGTTGGTTATATTTAAGAATCAATGAATAGGAATTCAGATCATGTGGCAAGAAGAATACATATGAGCTGATACACACACTTTTCACATAAAAGAAATAATGACAAAAATACAAGGAGAATACTGCATGCTTCAAAGTTTGCAAATATTGCTATATGTAATATATATATTACACACAAACACATACACACACATATATATACATACATACATACACATACATACATACACACACACTATATACACATACACACACATACATTAATATTATATGTGTATGTGTGTTAATTTCAGGCTGCTTAGTTTTTATTCCAGATGCAGATATGGAAACCCTGAAGCTTCCAGGTCACTTCTCTGATATTTTTGTCAATCTACTGAGACTCTCAGATTATTATTACTGAAAATCAGTTACATAATTTCTTACTGTATTTCTTACATTAAAATATTAATGTAAAATCCAAAACAAACTTAATATAGCTTATAAAAAGAAACCACAACAAGCCATTTCCGCATTCGATATATAAAATACTATATGTGCATGTGTGATTATGTACTCACACACAGGTACACATTTATATCTGTGGCAATTAATGACTTAAGGTTTGCAAATTAATATTAAGCCAACCTTCCCCTCCCAGACTTTAGCTAGACTACAAAAAAATCTATAATAAGAGGTAGTATGGTTAACAGGCTGTAGGCTGGGAATATGGGCACTTTAGTCCAAATACATCTGAAGGCATCTGATTTGGAGATATTTTGAAATACGCCTGCATATACCTATAAACTTTATGTATCGTGTTGACTATAAGAAGAATTCACTCACCATGCTGACCATGTTGAAGCAAAGGAACTAGATCCAGCAGAGTCACCAATGTCACGTATAGTCCTTGATAGTCCAATGATGGGTAGTCAGATAACTGAGCATCCCGACTTTGTTGGCCTCGTTCAGTAGGAGCATCTCGCAGGACGCTGTAAAGGAGGGAGCGAGTAACAGTAGGGTTGATGGAACTGACCTGTGGTCTTAGAGATGGGGTGAGTGGGAATGGCACAGGAAAAAGACACATGGTCATGGGCACTGTCAAATTGGAGGCATCTTGATTCTCCTTCTTCCCTGTGCGGGACAAAATGCTGTTGGGGGGACAAAGAAAAAAAAGAGACAACAAAGACACAAAGAACAGCACATTACATTGAAATGACACTATAAAACAAATAATAAAACTCCAGATACATCCCACATGAGATGCAGTCTCTACCAATACTAAGGCATCTTGAAAAATCTAGCAACCATTTACTTCCATGCTTAGGAGAAATACAGTTCAAAAATTGCTACAAGTGGGGAAATTTCCATTGCATCTCATGTGTTATCTGGTTCATAAGGAGCAAAAATATAAAAATGCATGTTTCAGTGGCACACCTATGTTTTACAGTTCTAGAATTGGATGCGATTTGTTATAGAAAACAAAAACTACAGCAGCACCATGTCAATTGTTTGAATTGTTGACCTTTTATCAAATAAATATTGAGAAAACATTTTGAACCTCATGATTGGAAAACCAAAGATAAAATACTGGCAAAAGATAGGTGTGACACTTACAGAAACATGTTTTAGCAAAAAATAAACATGTGTGTTTGTTAAGAGAACCTTAAAAATCACATGTTTATTGCATTAAAATAATGTCTGTATGTAATACATGATACTGTTTCATGACAGTCTTTCAGTATCATCTGAGATAATGAGATTTCAACAGGCACATGGATTTAGAAATAATATATATTTCTAAAATGTTAGCTAAACTACATTAGGTAAGCTTTAAAATAATATATAATTGATGGGCTGCAGCATATGTTTGTGAGCTAATGAGAATGATAATTTGTGTCTGCTTTTAACTGGGGGCAGGGAGGAAACAGAATGCTGTTCTATTTTGTGGTTACTTTCTAAGGACTAAGCAAGCATTACCAGTTATATATAACTGCATAGCAGAAAAGGTGTTAGCATTCATTGTTTTGCTACTTACATTATTTAATGAACTTACAAACTAAAGGAAAAATAATTTAGAATAAAAGAAAAGCTTCATGGGAAGCAAAAAATAGACTGCTGTGCCTTCTGAAAATCCCCCTAATCAAATTATGCTAATTTTTTGAAATAACTGTTTAAAAATTGCTGCTAAGTAAACAAATTAAAAGGGCATAATCTAACTGGTATAGTACTTTATAATCTGAAGCTTGCAGAAAGAGTATAACAACAATCAGAAGGTAGTCTAACTGGACACCAAATAAGTAAGTTTAGCATTATAATCTTAAACACACCTTGGCTCCTATTGAAATCAGAAAAGCTAAAGATACTCAATAATAAATAAATACTTTTGTACTTTAGTATAAAATGATTTGTGAGGATGAAGTTTCGTTCTCCGAGTTTGTGGGTTTGTTTCCGAAAATTTCATTACCAGCTAGGTAACATCTTTAGGATTCCCTAAACTCCACTGAAGATGTTACTTAGCCTGGTAGTGAAACATTTGGAAACCAACCCACAAACTTGGAGAACGAACCTTCACCCTCATTCTATACCCGAGCTACAGATATTCGCCACTCTTGCAAAAATGATTTGTGTTAGAGAATTAAGTTATAAAAAGTGTATTTACATTACACCAAACTACACATCCATTAATCTTTGTGTGATGAAAGAGAAACTATTTGAAAAATCACTTATCATTGTGACTATGGTTAATTTTCTACTGGAGAAATTAACTTCCCAACAATGGTTATTGAGAAGAGTGTTGAATAATATCTTAATATTTTTAAAGTTCCTCTTTTATTAGACTCAACAATTTGATTATTCAGAAGCAAATATTCCCAAATGATTTCTTCCAAGATAGCACTGGGAAAGTTACAGATAGCTCTAGGATATAGACAGCATATTATGGTGCTGCAATCTATAAATGTACAAGTATATTCAAGTGTTCCTTTTTTTATCCAAAATACAAAGCAGCTTTCCCCAGTCTGGTGCCCTTAAGCTTAGTTAGTATAACAGTACTCAGAATTCTCAGTTTGTCATTTGCTGGGAATTCTGGGGCCTACACAGTTGGTGTGCACCAAATTCAGGGGAACTGCTCTGCAGGCTGGACCCAGCCCCAAAGCTATAATCTATGTAGCTGGAGAGTATGTTGGACTAACATATTTAAATTCTAAAATGTTTATTGTGCCTTGTACAAAAGTTCACCTAAATTGGTTTCTAGTTAACTATTATCCAGTTGTAATTAATAAAATAAAACCAATAAATCATCTAAATGCAACATATCCATAAATTACACTAGTAGCAATGTTAACTGTAATAAACAGAAATGTAGGGATAAAAGATGCTAGCGTCTATTTATTACATTAGATTAGTAGCTTAAAATTGCAGCCCAAAGGAGGGAGGGTTGTTTAATTGATCACTTGTGCTGTACCTTTCTACTTGCTTTCTTATTAGTTTTCATTCTGATTTTCACTAAATTATTCACTTTATTTAGCAACAATAATTAAATCATATTGAGCTTTAGTTTTCATATATATTGTGCACTCAATGCCAATTTTTGACTCAAGGTTGTCCTCTTCAATATGGAACTGTTGTGTCCAGAGACTACAAATCCCATCATGCAGTAACCCACCCTCGTCCAGTCTGTTTCCTAAAAGTGTAATGAATTTTATTATTGAAATATCTCAGTGGTAAAAACTATGTTTTGGCTTGTTTCCCATAATTCTTCTTCTCATATATTCTCTTAGGACAAAAGAACATAAAGTTCAGGTCAAAAGCTTTTCTAGGTCAATCCTTTTTTCCACAATGAAACTGGTGCCAAATAAAAGTCTCATAGCAAAATATGAGGGCAATATCATGCTTTTATTCATATTCTTTAAAAAGAAATATCCAGGGGCATATGAAGTCTGTGCTGATATAAAGCCATTCTGACCAATAAACACTCATGTCCTATCTTGTTCCTTTTACATATGTGTTTACCAACACAACATTTTATATACTTCCTCAAACTCTCTCCTTTATTTTCCTTTCCACTAATGTTGTCAACAATAATTTTAGTGGATTTACAAGACACTCTCTATCCCTTGCTTGTTTCCAATAAGAAAAAAGGATAAATGCTTTCTATATATGGAAGGAGCCTTTCAATTTGTGGACAGTAAAATCTATAAGACACTCTGTTTCTTCATCCTCTTCTGTTGTTTTTCAGAACTATTCTTTCCTTCATATGAATATTAATGCAGAGTGAACCATAATCTATTAGATCTCATAGGATAAGTTGCTCGAAGGTATTTATAATACAGACTAGTTTCCATTCACAACTGAAATGGTTCCCTCCATTCCAGGACTGGGATCCAAAGAGATTTTGCTGATATAAGTGGAAGAGGCATATTTGAATGCCTTTTCTTCCGTCTGCTATTCCCTACATGCTGACTTCTTCCCTCGACAGAAGAGCTTTTTATGGGGATGAAAAATTTGGACTCTGGTGCATTTTCTCCGGCAAAAGCATTCCAAAACTAAACTTCCACTCATGGGGCTACTGGACCCACCTGGCTGTGTCATTTCTATCTTCAGATACTGCTAAGGTATTGCTCAAAAAGCTTAAAGACAAAATTCAGTTTTAAGGTTCCCTAAAAATAATTATTTAATGGTCAATTAGGATTTTGTTTAATACAGACATCACCAACCTATAATTGCCAAATGTGTACTATTCCCATGCCAAGTGGGAACTCTCAACATATCTGGAGAACGTCAAATTGGGAACTGCTGCTTTAACAGCTGCATGTAGAGCAGTTCTATGTAAAGGACAACTGCATAAATGAGGCAACAATTATTGCTCCTCATCAAGGCATCCTAGACCTAAGTGGTCTAGGATGAATCATTGATTCTCCACCTGTTATTAAGGTTTCCAAAACAATGGCTAAACTTGTTCTCCCACTATTCTAATGGTACAGCCTTATATCTCCTTAACCAAAAGAGTGGTGCACTGCATGTTGGGATTTGTCACATACGTGGTTTCACATTTCCACAAACAACTTTTATCTAAATAATGCTTCACCATGAATGGGGAGGTGTATAAAGTACCTCTTTTGGAATTGGCTTTGTTGTTTGCAACCTCATGGGGTTGTATTAGAAGATGGTCTTGTTTCTGCATGCTACAGATACAAATATATTCTTTCTCTGGGATTGCCAGAAAAGCAAAGGTGCTGTGTGTGTACATGCAAATTTTAGAATTACAGAATAACAGAGCTTGAATGGACCTTAGAGGTCTTCTAGTCTGACCCTCTGTTAGGGCGTGTCAAATTTTTCAACTTTCCATTTCCAAATGTTAGGAGTGTTCAAAAGTTGTGACATGCCTTGGGGATTATAAAGATATTTTGGCTACTTTAATATAATTTAGATGTGCTTGGTAAGTAACTACATGGATATCATAACTTTTTTAATATTTTGCTTATGCAACCCCCAGGAGCAGATACTAAGGCAGCAACATGAACTTTGCAAGCTGCAACTGCTGCAAATTATTTAAAAAGAGGTGACTTATATTTGCTCTTATAAACTGCAAAGCATCTTTTTAAAGACTGCACAGCCCTAACACAAAGAATATATTCTCAATATGCTCAAAAATTTCAGTTGCAAGAGTGTCAGTATAGAACCTATACACAATTCCATTCCAGAGATGACTCTATTGGATGTAGTTAGGATGTAGAAAGTGAAGAAGTGACAAGCAACAGGGAGAAAACAGAACTGCTTAACTTGTTTTTTGCATCTGTTTTTACAGGAAAAAGGAAAAAACAGGCCAACCTATCAAAAACAATACCATAAAAAATAGATTAGGAATACAAATTAAAATAGCAAGAAAATTATAAGAGAGCACCTGTCCACTCTAAATGAGTTCAAATCACCAGAACCAGATGGATTACACCCCAAGGTTCTGAAGGAATTAGTAGACATGATCTCAGAATTACTGAATTATATATTTCAAAGATCCTGGATCACAAGGAACTATTGGAGGACTGGAAAAGAGGTGATGTAGTTCCCATCTTCAAAAAAGGGAAAAAATGGATCCAGAAAACTAGAGACCTATCAGCCTGACCTCAAACCTGGGAAGATTCTGGAAAAG